GGAGAGTGATTGTGGCAGCCTTCCTTTCTTAATTAATTGTTTTAAGTCAGATAAGGAAAGCTCTGGAAGAGTCTTTCCTATGTTCGTTGAATCACAAATGGCTTGAGTTCAAAATTATACTTTTCTAAACTGGCACACTGTGGGTGGAAGCATATTTTTATCCTTTATAATGGCTGTTCTGGATTATAGAGTAGAATTTTGAGAAAAGGGCCTCCCTGGTAGCCTAGGGGTCAAGTCTCAGCATTAGCACCACTAGGGCCTGAGTTCAGTGCCCAGCCAGGGAATAAACCACATAGCTCAGCAGAACTCTCCTGTCCTGTCCACTGCTCCCCTTAGTGTATTTCACTGTTCTGCTTCCCACTTGACCCTGGTGAATCCTCTAACCCACCCCTATATCTCTGGCCTACACTTCAGTTCTTCTATGCAAAAATAAACAAAAATAGTTCTGCCAGTTAAGACATTTTTAATTTTCCCAGAGTTTATATTTATTTTCAATGATTGCTAAAACCTTACATGAATATTTAAAAGTTCTTAGGGTTATCTTCTTTTTTTATTTTTAATGGTTTATATATATATATATATATATATTCATTTTATTATATTTGCAACCTATTGGAATGTAGGTATATTAATAAGTCACTTCATTCCCATAAGGAAGAAAATGAGAGTTAAATTGAACTAATGTTCAATAGAGCCATTATCATTTAAGTCCTAAGTTTTGAAGAACATACCTTCGCAATAACTATATTTTCCTAAATCTGGTCTCACATACCCAGACCAATAAAAGCAGTTAAATTATAGTTGGAGAATCAGAGGAGGACATTGTAAACCCACTCCTCAGAAAAACAAATGAACCAAAACCTCAGAAATACAAACTTCATTATGAAATATGAAGTAAAATTTTTATAGAATAATGGTAAGAGAAAGAAAGCCCTCCAGCTGTTTTTAGAAAAGTTTCTTTAATCCCTTCTTCTCACTTCTAGAAATTAATGGAAATAATAGCAGGAATGTATAAAAGTAAATGCAAAGATTTTCACTGCAACATGTTATATTAATAGCAAAATAAACTATTATTAGTCTACAGGGAGACTAATAATTCCCATCCATTCATACAATGATGTAATCTATTCTCACTTAAGGAGACATAAATAAATTCATATGAAGACAAAATTTTAATTTCAGATTTTGAATTCTATACTGCTAAAATGCATAGAGATGATAATAAAATGTAACAGAAGAAAATGAACTAGACATAGTCATGTTGGAAAGCAAAATGTACCTCTGATGAATTGCAGTAAAACAGAGTCTTAAAATGCAAGAATATTTGAAGCTGGATGACTGTGTTAAAACTGGAGTCTAGTAGATATAAACTGTTCTGACCTTAGGGTTAATACAAAAGTAAAGCTGACCCACTAAATTTGGGGACTGAAACCAGGGTTAATACTAGAACAAGAAAATAGAATGGACACTGATTTTTAAAGGAGATTAAAAAAAGAAGAAGACATTGCTGGTATTTGCTTCCTAAAATATATGTACTTTGAGAAATGGGATAAAAAATGGGCATATGCCCTCCCTGATGGCTCAACATGTAAGGACGCAGTACTGCATGCTAGCCTCTACTGTCTTGCCTGCTGCTCCTCAAAACAGTTGATTTCAGTTGATCTACCTATTCTGCTCTCCCACTCTGTCTCTGATGAATACTCTACCCCCATACCTCTGGCCTATACCCCAATACTTTTAACACACATGCACACACACACACAAAAGGGGAATAAAAGAACTTAAACACATGTAGAAAATTGGGGTCACTAACAAAATTAGTTGTCAAAGACAGCCATTATAAAATTACTAAGGATTAAGCAAAAATGAAATGCTAATTGTTGTATTCTCATTCCATCTCCTTCAGAGCATTTGAAAAAAATACATGTGTTTAAGTTGTTCCTTCACACAACTTAATATTGGCTTTAAAGCCCTAAGTGTCAGTTTGTCTTTACATGCTTCAACACAAACCATCTTTCTCATGACATTTATTATCATCATTCTAAATACCATATCAAAACCAGGGTGACATTAAAAGATTAATTCATCATAAAACTACATATTCTCTCTTTAAAACTAGAATAGTCCCAAACTGGAAAAGAATGTTAATACAAATAAACCAGTGGAAATTATTGCAATATAGATTGCAATATACACCAATACTTAGTAACTCTAGTAGCATTTTAGAAAAATCAACCCACATAAAATAAGGAAAAACTCTCAAATGGACAAATATAAATGTTTCTTAAACATATAAAGGGCAAGATCATCTATGAGAAAATGCCATATGTTGACTAAGCTTACAGTTATATAAAGAGTCTTACATTTACATGAAATTCTGCAAAAGAGTTTCAAATTTGATGACTATTAGTTCAAATTTATGGCAAACATTCTCTGTATACAATAATTGAATCAAGTGTCAATATTAAATAAGTTAAAAAACCATGAATTTTAAAACTAAAGCCACACTTCAAAAATAATTAATTCAGAAATCATAATACATATATTTAAGTTTTAAAACCAAATGAAATTACATGTCCTAAAATTGAAATTTCTGTGAAAGTGTATTTAACTAGACTTTATTTTTTAGATCAGTTTTATATTCACAACAGAAGTAAGCAGAAAGTTCCCAATCCTTCTCTATCTCTGCTGCCTATAAACATAGCTTCTTCACTATCAGTATTATGAGGTTGAATGATACAATGGATA